TATGTGGTTATTTTTATTTTTTAGATTGCTCTCCCTAGTCTTTATCAAACCCTCTGCTTTGAAGATGTAGCTCTGTGGCGTACTTACTACCATAATTCAACGTGTGAGCAAGAGTTTCCATCTATTCTTGCAAAGAAAGTTTCCTTATTTCAGCAGGTAAACTTTAGTGTTACCTAAATCCAAAAAAGTATTTAATATTTTTCTTGTTATTCAGAAGCCATTTAAATGAAAACTTTGCCTTTGGAGTATTACTTAACCTTTAATGGCTTATGTGGGGAAGGGTTTTTTGTTTTTGCCACATTATTCAGACAATTAAATCACTGGCAAAGTTAGTGGGTAAGGGCATCTTTCTCTGTGGCTTTTCTTATTCCCTGTGCCTCTAACACAAAGGGGATCTTGCAATAAGAAAAATGTCTTCTAGAAAGAAACTAAAGTACAAATTGTATGGGTTCTAAACTCATTTCTTAGAGTTCTATCTGAAGAAAAGACCTAATAGTGAGGAACAGGTGAGTTTTTGAGATTCTATTTCAAAATAGAATGGAGAAACATAATGATAGGTTCCACTCAATTTTTTTGCTAGTGAAAAGACTTTTACTATCCTGGAGAGCAGGAGAGCTCTCCAGAAGTTGACGCTGTAGGAAATGACCTTTCCATCTATTTATCTCTTCTCTATGCTGCTGACTGTGGGATCTCCATACACAATGAATTCTATTTCACCAAATGTGCTTTGAAAAAACAAAAAACAAAAAAAATCCCCAAAAACAACTAAGAAAAAATTCATTCAAAAACTTAAATATCTAGGAATATCATAGATATACGTGATTCAGCATAAAAATAGTGATTTGAAAATATTAGGCAGGATTTCTGGGCCTCTGTTTGCTGTCACCAGAAGTGCCTTACCTACACATACCACTATTTTCACATGCCATTTAGCCCTTTATTAGATCCTGAAGACATATCTAACCTATGTTTACTTTTGATGATAGGCTTGAGGAAGTAAATGGATTTCAGAAATATTTTGCATATTAAAGAGGTATCTCGGTATATACATATTGTGACAGTTTGAAGCATGGTAAATACTATGAAAAATGATATGTTCACATATTTTACTAAGCATTTGTTTAATTAGTTAACATTTACTATTGTTTAATTAAAGGTGTTTTATTCTTTAAAAATATTCTGCATTTTATTTTAAGGTTCTTGTAGTGCAGGCTCTAAGACCGGACAGATTGCAAAGTGCCATGGCTCTTTTTGCATGTAAAACTATGGGTAAGTGCAAGACTTTTCAAGAACTAGACCACTGGCCTGAATTATTTGTTTTTAATTTACATTTTATTTTTATACTGACCTTAGTTTAGAAGTGTTATAAGGTTTTTTTAATTCATTCTACTTATTTTACAATCTCTGCTTGTTTTAGAATAACCATTCTCTGTGTTGGATATAACCATATGTAATGTTGAAGTAAATTTGATGCATAATTGACATCCTATATTTAGTAAAGGTATTTGAGAATTTAAAAAAATATTTTCTTATAAAAGTATTTTAGATGTTAATATTTGTCCATGATTAGAATTTCAATGAAGACAAATGTTCGTGCCAAACCTAAACTGCATAAGTACTACTTGTCATACCTAAATGAAAAATTTAGACAATTAAAGTAAAATGTATTCAAAT